AGCAGTGGATTCCAAAATCCTAAGAAGAATAGGGTTTCTACAATAGCAACTTTCTGATGTGGTACCATCTGTTTTACTTTTGAACGTAATAAAAATGACAGCTTTTCATGTACTGATACTCTCTGTGCCTTTTAAAGTCAAACATATGATGTTATTTGTGTGTAAAGGGTTTTCTCTTGCACCCATTTGTTTCTCCAGCTTGAATTTCTATGTAAACTCCCTTGGCTAAATTACACAAGCCGCCTCCACCCTGCCGCCTCCACCCTCGCTGTAGAGCAGGGGGTGGGAACCTGCCGTCTGCACGTGGAGTGTCCAATACTCAGCTCATTGTACCAAGCCAAGCAAGATTTCCTAACAGGAAGAGCTGCCCAGTGCCCACTGTGCTCTCTGTGCTCGTTGTGGACACGCAGCTTTGAGACATGGCTGTGAGACATTTTTGACAACCTGTCCTAAACCTGGCCTTTGGTCCCTTCTTCTGCTTTGTAACCTGTAAAAAATCTTCATTATCTCCCTTCTCCCTCTCTGCCCTAGATGTGCCCTCTTTTCCCTTAAAAGACAATAATACGTATTTAAAGCAAACCTTATTCTTTTTTATTAAGCCATTTTATGGAGGCATAAAATTATAAAATTCACTCATTTGAAGTGTACAATTCAATACTGGTTAATAAATTGGCCACATTGTGCCCCTGCCACCGTAATCTAGCTTTGGAACATTTCCATCACCACAATATGATCACTCACCCCCTCGTATGGTTAATTCCCACTCTGAGGCCCAGTCCACTAATCTACTTTCTGTGTCTAGGTGTGCCTCTCCTAGACATTTCACGTAAAACCATATATATGTGTGCTTGTTTGTGTTTTCACTCAGCATGTTTTAGAAGTTCTTCTGTGTAGTACCATGTATCAATATTTCTTTCCTAATTTATGTTGCTGGATAGTATTCTGTTGTGCGGCTGCATATCATATTTTGTTTATCCATTCACCAGTTGTTAAATATTAAACTTCTTTTTTTTTCTTTTTTTAAGACTGGGTCTCACTCAGTTGCCCTGGGGTGCTATAGCATTATAGTTCACAGTAACCTATTGGTCTCAAGTGATCCTCTTATCTCAGCCTCCCCAGTAGTTGGGACCTCAGACACCCAGCACACCACCAGGCTATTTTTAGATACAGGGTCTGGCTGTTGCTCAGTCTGATCTCAAACTCCTGAGCTCAAGCAGTCTGCCCACCTCAGGCTCCCAGAGTGCTAGGATTATAGGTGTGAGCCTTGACATATTAAACTTCTTATTCTTAATGATAAATAAAATTATATGTTTCTAGTTTTTAATTCAAAACATAGTTGAATTGAACTTTTTATAATCCTAGTTCTTTGCCCCTCAAAAAAACCCCTCCTATAATAAACTGGGTTTTGTTTTGTTTTTTAACTTCTGTGAGACTATTGGTTGATTCTTTTTTCCCCCAAGTCACTGGCCCTTAATAGAAAAGCACCTACTTGTTAGAAAAATGTTCCCAATTCCTACTCCCCTCCCCTCTCCTCACTTTTTTTTTTTTTAAGAGATGGGTTGTGAACCACCATGCCCAGCCAAATCAGGTGTTCTTATAACAGACGCTGATCCTTAGGTGGGGTCTAATTTATTTAGACTGTAGTACTGGGGAAGAAGACTATTAATGTGGCTGAGTGCTGGGGTTTTATTTGTTTCAACAGCCCCCTCATACCCTGTTGACCCCTGTGAGGCTTCTGATTCACCAAACCACATCTCTTGGTTTTATGAGCCAGATCTTCTCCATTCTGTTCTGGAGTCATTTTGTTGTTACTGAGTCCCATGTAATTTTATATTTAGCCCTGTAAATTTTGATCTTACTGGGGGTTGAGACTTTTTTTTATTATGGTAAATTATATGGTATTTTTTTTAAATGATAACATGAAATTTAAACCATTCTTAAATGTACAGTTCAGTTGTATTAAGTACTTTTTCACTGTTGTGCAACCATCATTATCCATCCCCAGAACTTTTATTTTGTGGAGACAGTCTTACTGTAGCCCAGGCTAGAATGCCATGTCATCATCTTAGCTCACAGCAGCCTCCAATTCCTGAGTTCAAGTGATCCTCCTGCCTCAGCCTTCCAAGTGGCTGGTTGGGACTATAGGTGCCTGCCACAATGCTGGGATTATTTTTCTATTTTTAATAGAGACTGGATTTCACTCTTGATCAGGTTAATCTCAAATTCCTGAGCTCAAGTGATTCTCTCACTTTGGCCTCCCAGAGTGCTATAACTACAGGCGTGAGCCACCAGAATTTTTTTTTATCTTCCCAAACTGAAACTCCGTACTAGCTAAACCATAATTGCCTCTTTCCTTCCACCCCAGCTCCCAGCAACCTGCATCTGCTTTCTTTCTCTGAATCTGACGGCTGTAAGTATGAGTGAAATCATACAGAATTTGTCCTTTTGTGACAGGTTTATTTCAGTTAGTCTGACATCTTAAAGGTTCATCCATGTTGTAGCATGTGTAAGAATTTCCTTCCTTTTTAAGGCTGAATGGTATCCTGTTGTATGTATAGACCACATTTTCATCTGGTAGACACACCTGGGATGTGTTCCCCTTCTGACTTCGGTGGCTAATGCTGCTATAAACATGAGCGTGCAGTCTCATTGGTCTCACTGTTTTTAACTCATTTATTACATTTTTCCCTCATTCATTAAGTTTTGCCTCTATTTTATGTTATTAAATAATTATCTGCAAATCAGATAAGGTTAATCTTTTGACTTTTTCCAAGTCCCTTCTTTGTTTTTTTGTTTTGTTTTTGTTTTTTGAGACGGGGTCTCACTCAGTCACCCTGGGGTTGAGCGCCGTGGCATCATAGCTCACAGAAACCTCAAACTCTTGGGCTTAAGTGGTTCTCTTGCCTCAGCCTCCCAAGTAGCTGGGACTATAGGTGCCCATCACAACACCTGGCTGGTTTTTAGAGATGGGATCTCTCTCTTGCTCAGGCTGGTCTCAAATTATTGAGTGCAAGTGATCCACCTACCTCAGCCTCCCAGAGTGCTGGGATTACAGGCATGAGCTGCTACACCCAGCCCTCCAAGTCCCTTCTTGATAAAAATGTTGTTTCCGATAGATTTGAAGATGTCATTTTTCACAAAACAGTCATTTCCTGCATCTCCAGTCTTTTTTCAAGATTGATGGCGTGGTCTTCACAGCTGGGCTCAGGAGCAAACTGTCATCCTATTTAGCCTGAGTCTGAGATTGTCATAATTCTTTTGGATAAAGTCTATCTCGGCAGACAGATGTTAGAGGGAATCAAATAAGCAACCTCTAGGCTAGCTCAAACCAGAAGGTTTGGGGGTTTTCATTTGTTTTTTTTTCACCTGTTTACTTGATGGTCACTACAACTATTCAGAAACTAAAACCAAGAAGAGGCAAACAGCTGTTGGAGTGACCTGGTTAGGATTGAATTAGTTTGTTCCCTAAGTATTTACTGAGCTCCTACTTGTGAAAAGCACAAAGTGATTTAGGAAGACAAATGATGAATAAAACACGCACTCTGCTCTCTAGATGTTTACAGAACAAAACATTAGAGGAGCCTCCTGTGATAAGCCAGAGATCTTTAGGCAAGCGTTCAGCCCAACGCTGTAAAAACATCTTCTGAAGATGAGGAGGATTACGAAATACATCAAAAAGCAACGTGTTCTCTGAAATTATGTTTTAGTCAGTACGTGGTATAGGTGGGTTTTCAGTGAAGATTTGAGGACAGATCAAGAAATCTCAACATGAAAGTTTCAGAGGTGTTTAGCTTTTGCTTTACTTTGACTAATGTGAGAGCACCGGAAAACAAAAAGTACTCTTGCTCTTGACAATATAAAATTCTTATTATTTTTAGAGAATAGTAACTGTGCATTTATGAAATTCTTTGTCAGAGCAATTTAGTTAATAGGTATGTAAATGACTGCTTATTCCCTCGTGTGGGTGGCTCGCTCCATGTACACCTTCTAAGGAAGAATGTAAGTGCTGAGAGCTATTAACACTGCAAATGGAAAGAAGCAAAGTGAAGGCGAGAAGGCCATGCCTCTGCTGTCGTAGGTCTTGGGACTGAGAAAGTCCATCTTGTAATCCATTTGTTCAACTTTCAATCGCCCGACTCTCAGATTGTTTGGGATGCTGAAGTGTACTGGGATGTAAGGCTGCTTCTTACTTCTACTGTTGGTTTTCAAACACAAACGATACTACCAACCCAGCTGGGCAGAGTGGGGGAGGTACTGCAAGTTAATGCCACAGCAGTACATTTCAACGCGAGAGAATATCTCCTTGAAAGACACCTAAAGGGCTCTTTTAAAAGTTCATTGGTTTTTTCAGTATAAAAACACCTTCAGAGGAGGCTGGGAATTTCAAAGCTCTTCTGGCTCTAGCTGCCTCCTGGGATCAGAATAGAAGCCTCTCTCTAATAGCTGAAGAGTTAATGCGTGCCTCCTCCCAGTGAAGAAGTCACCAGTGGGAGAGAATAAATCCCCCTGCCCACCCCCAACAGTCCCACTTCCCTTGCTTGAATTCACCCTGCCCCATGAATTAACCTCATCTTAATTGTGCTTTTAATGTTCTATTCCCCTTCTTAGAAATTACCTTGGGTTCTCATTTGTCATGCAAATCCAATTAAAATTCTTGGTAATGGATCCAAGCTCTCCACCCTCCTTACCTAACTCCTCCTGACTCCCACTCCCCTTATCACAGGGAAGCTCTCTCGGTGTTCATTCTCCTGTGGGCTGCGGCCCTCCCCGCTGACCGAGGCCTTCTCACCTAGGGCTCGCTCGCTCGCCACCTGGCTCCACACGACCGCTGTCCTAGGCCAAATTCCTTTACTTGGCAGGCTCTTTCTGCCCCACAGCAGCACTGTAGCCCCTGTCACTAGCAGTATGGACTCAGTCCGCAGCTCTGCGGGCTCTGCACCTTGTGGGGGCGTCTTTATTCACACTCTTATGTGTTTGCTCTTGCTTTTCTTTTCCTTCAGGTACAGAGTGAAGACAGTGTTCTCCTGTTTGTCATTGCCTGGACAATCACGGAGATTATCCGTTACTCCTTTTATACTTTCAGTCTGTTAAACCATCTGCCTTACCTCATCAAGTGGGCCAGGTAAAAAAGTTCACGGAGTGAAGACTGACTTATGAAATTATCCACCATTGCATTTGCCTTTTATTGCCTAAATATTGCCTCCAGGTCTCTAAAATTAAAATCATATGATATAAGGGTTGGGTAGAAATCTGGTCCATGGATTTCATCAGGAAAAGGGTCTCTACTTTGATTAATAGAAGTACTGTTTAAACATTTTTTTGTTTTACTAAAGTTATTTTTATTGGGATCAATTCTTTTTTTTTTAATCAATTCTTTTCAGTTAAGTTATTCCATGCAGATTTTGTGATGTTTGTTGGAGCAAGTCCAATCTTCCTAGTCTCAATTTTGCCATGAAGCTGTGATTCTTAAATTAATGTGTAGTTAATAACAAATACTATGTTTTAGCTTACCAGCTTTATTTTGCTTTTTATTTATTTATTTATTTATTGTTGGGGATTTATTGAGGGTACAAGAAACCAGGTTTCACTGATTGCATTTGTTAGGTAAAGTCCCTCTTACAATTGTGTCTTGCCACCAAATTTATTTTGCTTTGATTATTTTTTCCAGTAATATTCATTATGAATTGGGTGAAAAGCTGCTAGTTCATCTGTGTACCTCGAGACAGACGGTTGTGTGCAGTATTCTGAGTTGGGAAAGACTATGAGGGTGTGACAAAGCAGAAGGATCCAAATTGTCCTTGGGGCAAAATGTCTCATTTCAGAGAAGGAAAATAGTAATTCCTAGACAGTTTATAAGTTTAGTGATTAAATTAGGGATATGATTCAATTATTTCCAACATTTCAAGTATGAGAACTCCTTTGTTATTTTTTTGTTTGCATTAAAATATTTTTAGAAGGAAAAGAGAGAATAGGAAACACAGTATTCTATGTGAATAGAATAGCTTTCTATGTGAAAGCCGTCTACCCTGGTTGTAGGGGAAGTTTGTTGACCAAGACCTGATTTTACTGTTGGAGAAAGATTCTTTGTCCACACCCTCTGAAAAATTCTTCCTTTTCCACTGTCCTCTTTAGCCTGGATGAAATTGGCAGTGGAGGGATATGTCTTCCCTTTCTCTTCGTAGATGTTTCAGCACAATTGCTGTGCCTGAAAGCAAGGGTGTCCAACCTTTTATCTTCTCTGCCACACATTGGAAAAAGAGTTGTCTGGGCCACACATGAAGTACACAAACACTAATGAAAGCTGATGAGCAAAAATAAGGTCTGTGCATAATTTTTGCAATATCCAACACCAAAATAAACAAAGCAGTCCTCACATAATCGGCACATGGGCTACCGGTTGGATCCACCTGGCTCACTGTAGTCCATTTCTCATTGTAAAACACAAACAACCAAAAGCTTTTTAAAGTGTGAACCAATCATTCCTTTAGTGATATTTATACCTCACAGTGGCTTTCTGTTAGTTCCATGGGGGTAGTAACTGCTCTCTGAATTTTTTTTTTCCCCAAGAGACAAGGTCTTGCTCTTGTCCAGGCTAGAGTGCAATGGTAGGAGTCGTCACAGCTCACAGCAACCTCAAACTCCTGGGCTCACATGTTTCTCCTGCCTCTGCCTCCTCAGTATTGGAACTACAGACATGTACCACCATGCCTGGCCATTTTTTCTCTTTTCTGTAGAGTTAGGGTCTTTGTTGCTCAGGCTGGTCTGGAACTCCTAGCTTTAAGCAGTCCCCCCACCTCAGCTTCCTAAAGTGCAGGGATTATAGGCTTGAGCCCTGAATTCTTTTTGAAACACAGAGAACTATTTTTTTAAAATGTGATAACTATAATTTGGGGGGTTGGTGATTAGAAAATTATGTAATCTAAAATTATTAATGAGTTTAATTTTTTTAATTACATGTATTTGATTTCATAATAGCACATATGGGCATTTGAAAAACAGTAGCAATATACATATTTATGCTATTTTTATTTTCAGCCCATAGACCAGACTTGGTATATGGTGTAGGAATTCCTAGACAGTGAGTTCCAACACGTCCTCACCACCACCCCAACCCCCTCGAGTCCCCCAGCCCCACCCCTTAGCCCACAGGGCAGCACCCCTACTTTGCCAGTATTTGATATCATCTTGTTATTGTACAGAAGTATTTTAAACAGTTGTTTCTTTAGTCAGGTCAAATTCTGAGGCCAACTGAATGCATTTATTTTGAGCTAAAATATTTGGAAAACAGATATCTGCTATAGGCCCTTTTCAAAAACCAGCTTGTACAACCTGAATTGAAACAGTAAGTAAACAAGAAAATGTGTAAACAAAAGCTTTCTGAGAGACCAGAAGGGCGGGAGCGCATCTTTCTCCGAAAGCTGGCTCTGCGCCTGAGTAATGAATATTTTGCTTTGTTCTAGATACACACTTTTCATCGTGTTGTACCCAATGGGAGTGTCAGGAGAGCTGCTTACAATGTACGCAGCCCTGCCCTTTGTCAGACAGGCCGGCCTGTACTCCATCAGTTTACCCAACAAGTACAATTTCTCCTTCGACTACTACGCGTTCCTAATCCTAATAATGATCTCCTACATTCCCAGTAAGTAAACAATTCTGCATATACTTAATTATGTTTCAAAATTTGGCTCTACAGTAACTAGAGTTAAATGTCTTTGATTGTTTTTGCACCGTGTCCAAGTAAAGGTAAATCTAATTTCCTGGGAACACTTGGTTTTTATTGAATCCTGACTGGCAAAGGGAATTTTCTCCACTAGTAATCGAATAAAGATGAACCCTTCTCAACATGGCTGCCAAATTGGAGCCCTTCTCAGTGTGTGGGTTTAAAATAGTGAAGACCAGGGTAGGTTAACTAGGTACTGGGGGAAGGGTCTCTGTGGAAAGCAGAAAAGCCATTAAAGACCTTGCCTTGATTTTATTTTTCTGTCTTTTTGAGAACTCCCTATTAGGGTATTTGGAAAACATAGTACCGGCTACCAGTGAAATGTTTACAAAACAAAAGCCAAATAATAATAATACACGGTAGGAAGATTTTTGCATTGATTACTATATCAAAATAGATGGTTAACTTCATTTCAAAGGTATCAGTAGTTAACTAGAAACAAATAAAATAAAAATAGATTTTGGTGATATTTTTCTATTTTCCTTTGTCTTATTAGCACTAAAACTATTTGAATGGGACATAGTGTTCTCTTCAGAATGATTTCCAGATATTTTAATAGTTCTACTAAAGGTTGAAATACTACAGAGATGGATAGTCTGGGGGCGGTGGCTCCAGCCTATCCTAGCACTCTGGGAGGCAGGGGCAGAAGAATTCCTTGATGTCAGGAGTTCAAGAGCAGCCTGAGTAAGAGTGAGACCCCATTTCTACTAAAAACAGAAAAAATCAGCTGCCCATGGTGGTGCTGCATGCCTGCAGTCCCAGCTACGTAGGAGAATGAGGCAGGAGGATAGCTTGTGAGGTTGCAATGAGCTATGTTGACACCATTGCTCTGTAGCCAGGGCAACAGAGTGAGACTCTGTCTGTAAATAAATAAATAAGCCTGTGGGCATACTCAGTGACAGAGGAAAAAGACATAAATAAATAGTCAAATGTGCTTGTGGGCATACTCAGTGACAGAGGGAAAAAGACATAAATAAATTTCCAATCAAACGTGCCTTTGGGCATACTCAGTGACAGAGGAAAAAAGACACATTTTCAGCTACTCAGGAGGCTGCGGTGGGAGGATTGCTTGAGGCTAGGAGTTCAAGGCTGTAGCATGCTGTGATCACACATTTGACTAGCCACTGCACTACAGCTGGGCAACACAGCAAGGCCTCATCATCTCTAAACAAAAAGAAAAAGACATGTTCAATGTCCCTGTGAGGTGAATCCTGTTTGTTGAGGAGGAATATAGTTCTTTCCTCCAATTCTGATGTTCAGTTGTAAATCTTATGATTGATTTCTACCTATCAAAAGGATCTTGTTATACCCAGTGACGTGTAATGTTCGTGTTTCTTCTTTAGCCATTGCAACTCGGAATCTTGTTAGTCTGGGAAGGTAGATGCTGTGTTCTCTAAATCCCAGGTTAAATTCAGACAGGGTTGGATTTTTCGTTGGCTCACAGCATTATCTGAATGAATCATCCTAACAGTCATATGTGACATGTTTGTGTCCCTCTGTGGAAAATTGCATTTCATGCATCGTGAAAAAAAAACTACATCCAGATTTCATGTGAGGCTTATCTTAGAGAGATCTTGGACACAGTTCTGCTTCGTGATTCATTTTCCACTCTTTATTCATTATCAAGTCCTCCTCTTCAATACTGGAGCCACGGAGGCTAAAGGCCATCTCTCTTCAAATGTAGAAGGTAGTTGACTTTCAAACAAAAAATAAATGTGGCCAAGCGTGGGGGCTCATGACTATAATCCCAGCACTTTGGGAGGCCAAGGTGGAAGGATCATTTGAGGCCGTGAGTTCCAGATCAGCCTAAGCAACATAGCAAGACCCTGTCTCTACAAAAAGTAGAAAAATTAGCTATGCAGGGTGGCATGTGCCTGTGTAATTCTAGCTACTCAAGAGTCTGAGGCAGGAAGATCACTTGAGCCCAGGAGTTGGAGGTTGCAGGGAGCTATGCTGATGTCACTGCATACCCGCCCCATGCTTGGGCAACAGAGTGAGACCCTGTCTCCATCTCTCTCTATCTCTCTCTCACTCCCCCGCCCTCCCTCTTCTGCTCCTCTCCCTCTCTTCTCTCCCCACCAAATACATATATTTATATGTAAATGTAAAAGGATCTAAAACCTTAAGTAATAAAAATTAACTAATAGTTTTTCACCTTTCTAATAGTTTCCTTTTTTATTCTTTATTTCTTTTATATACTTATGTTTTGGTAGACAGGGTCTCACTCTGTTGTCCAGGCTGGAGTTTAGTACCACAGTCATTACTCACTACAGCCTCAAACTCCTGGGCTCAAACAATCCTCCTGCCTCAGCCTCCCAAGTAGCTGGGACTACAGGTATGCACCACCATGCCCAACTAATATTTTTATTTTTTAGAGAAACAGGTTCTCCTTATGTTGCCCATGCTGGTCTTGAATTCTTGGGCTTAAGCAGTCCTTCTGCTCTGGCCTCCCAAGGTGCTCAGGATTATAGGCCTGAGCCACTGTGCCTGCCCTCTGTATCATTTTCTTAGAGTTTCATCTTCTGCTCTCAAGAGCATCAACTCACAGTTGCAGTTTTATAACCCAGAGTAACACATATCCCATTGGGCCCCACAGGGTTTATTTAAATTCAACATAGTTTTGAATAAATAGGAGATATGGACCATATTGGATAATGGGGAAGGGGGCAGGGAGGATATTATGAAATCAGAACCATAGCATGGTGTTTCCATGTTAAAAGCAATCTGGTGGTCCCTAGCTCAGGGTTTGTACTAGTCATCTTTGTGCTCTGGTACCAGCCAGTGCCAGCCTTTTGCCTCTCTGCTGACCTCTTGGGGCAGTGGCAGGGCCCAGTCAAGCCCACGCAGTCCTTCCATGACATCAGGGTTCCTGGACAAAAACAAACCCAAAAAGGCCACTGTCCCCAAGGTCTGCTTTCTCTCTGGTCTCTCTCTTCCAAGGTGAAGATTTCTAAATAAATATTAGACTCAACCAAGCCAAGATTTCCTACTAAAAGAAGACGAGGATCAGAAGAAAGGAACTGAGGTAAAGAAAGCCAGTCTCTGCTGGGAGGCGAGTCTGCACTGCTCTCCAAAAGCCCACTGTCCCCAAGGTCTGATTTCTCCACAGTCGAACACGGACAACAGAAAGAAATCAGACCTTGGGGACAGTGGGCTTTTGGAGAGCAGTGCAGACTCGCCTCCCAGCAGAGACTGGCTTTCTTTACCTCAGTTCCTTTCTTCTGATCTCAGCCTCTTTTTAGTAGGAGATCTTGGCTTGGTTGAGTCTAATCTTTCTTTTTTAAAGCAGCTTTCCTCGTGTAGACCAAGAATAAGGGTGGATCTCAAATACAGATTAAGATTCCCTACAAATCCCTGATGCACTTCCCAGGTCCACAATGGTGCCCAGGCCACACCTGCTGCTACCAGGTAACCTGCTGGCACTCACTGGACTCTGACCTGAGCCAGGGACCTGGATGTTTTCAGTTCAAGTTGTTAACATTGAGACCACTGTGTACAGTTTGTTCCAGCCAACTGCACTTTCCAACTTTCCAAAGCTTTGTATTTATCAGAAGAAAATGCAGAATTCAGAGAGGTTGCTGTTGGCATGCAATCGCCTGTCCCAAATTTAGTTTTTTTCCTACAATTCAGGGTTCTTTTAATCTTCTTTTATGAGAGGTTGATGCTATCCGCGTCCCTGGCAAGGTGCTCCTCTCCTGCTCAACTTCACTTGCGGCGTGTGCAGTACCGGTCCAACACAGCATCTGCAGGCCTCCAGAGGTGTCTCAGGCCTGTTTACATTTCCCCTCAGAATTGGCACAAGTGGGTTAGGGGCGGGGATAAAAAATGATTGAGAAACACTCATGAGAGTGAGGACACCAAGAACCTGGCTCTCCCCAAGTTGTCAGTGACCATAACCACAGCTCTAGATTTTAGACACACTAAGAAGGGACTTGGCCCAGGCAGAGCATTTCCAGTTGTTCTCATCCTCCACAAGCCCTCTTCTCCCAGAAGGGAAACAGGCCCCAGCAGGACTGGCTATCTTCTTAAAGAAGAACAGGCCCAATTGCACTCACAGCCCCTACAGCCCAAACACCCAGGGACGGACACACATGCATGCCCAGTCACTGTCTGCCCTCCAGAGTCCTGAACTAGCTATTGAGATATAGAATTCTCAATGGCCTATTGTCACAGGGAGATTTTTTAGTGTTTATCCTAAACATAGCCCATGTAGTTAAAAATAGTAGCTACGCATCCGGAATTGTTTCACTCATTATAGTTAGGTTGAGTCTAAATATGGAGGTAATTCAAATGGAGATCGTATCAAAGTCCTGGCCCCCCAGATGTCATTGTTTAAGCAGTGGAGAACAGCCCAGGTACTCGTAAGCCCCTGGTCTCCCACCCACCTCCTGTGGAACCTCTGGGAGATGTGAAGGAATGAAAGGGCCATATCCATCCCCATTTCTGGCATCTGACCTTTCTGGTAACCAGCAGGCCCTTACCCATGGAGGTGAAGTTCTCCTTGGCCATCGTCTTACTTTGCCACTAAAAGCCTAATGCAGGGCTTCTAAGTCATTATCCTCCCCTGGAGCCTTTAACTAGCTGCGAGGCTGTAGCCACCCACTACGAGGGAATGTAGTCCCAAACACAGCTAGTGGGAAGGTCCCTAGCATTCTTAGCTCAAAAAGCTTCCCTTGCCTAAAGTAAATCTATAGAAATGTGACTGGCCCCACATTTTTAAATGATTACAATTAGCATTCCTTATGGCTTAATTATATCTTTACTTCCAGTTTTTAGATTATAGAGCTTGTCAAATATTCTGGCTTCCATACCAAAATAGTTCTCTCCCTGTTGAATTTTGTGCATGGGCTGGATCTTTTCTGTGACTAGCTTCCTGCCTGGACGCAGCACTGCTCAGCACAGACCTCCTGTGCAGCCGCAGACCTGTGTGCACACGCCTGCCGCTGTCCTGGGATGCCTTCGCAGGGTCCTTTGAAATTTGTCAAACTTGGAAGCCATTTATAAAGGAAGAAACTGTCAAAGGAGAGTTGACAGTAGTAGAAATTAAAGATAGGCTACTATCTAAAAAATAAGAAATTGGAGCTGTTGGGAAGGGGAGGGGAGGGAAGGGTATTGTACACCAAAAGACTGTCTCACTTTGAGATGTTTACATGCAGTAACCTTTCCTAGCAGGGACACCCTAAGCATGTTTGGTGGGACAGTTCTCAGTTGTGGTGACTATTATACATTTCAGGATGTTTTAATATTCCCTGGCTCCATGTGCTAAATGCCAGTAACCTTCCCCTTTCCCCCTCACTTCCACATATTCCCTGGGGAGGCAGTACCATGCTGTTCATTTGAGAACCAGTACTTTTAGAAATACAGCGGAACTTCCATAGTTGACCCCCTCCTTACACTGACCACCTCCTTAAATTGACCTAATTTTCATAGGCACATAGGCGGGACGTGCAACACATGTATGTGTCAGTGGACAGCAGGCCTAGTTCCTTATGTGGACCGCCTCCGTGTGTTGACCAGTTTGTTACAGTCCCTTGGGTGGTCAGCTTATAGAGGTTCATTTCTATGAAATGACCAAGAACAGAAGAATCTGTAGTGCCTGAGATACTGGTTTACTTTTCATAAAGGCTTTTTCTGCACCCAAACTTAGCTTAGTTGTGTTCAAGTCAAATGTTGTAGTAATCTTCCTCCTCCTCAAGTCTTCCCATCCAAAGCATAACATATATGGGGAAGGAGTTTGGAGAGATTGCCTCCACCCTGGGACCAGAGAGGTCAGAAGCTGGAGCCTGGTCCTAGCTATCAGCGATTTACTGTGAGGCCCCAGGCAAGTTGCTTATTATCCCTAGGGCTTGAGTTCGTCCTTTTTGGAAGAAGAAGAACTCTTATCCCTGGGATTCTTCATCTGGTTGTGTTGGGACCAGAATCGCCACTGAGAGACCACCACACACATGCAAAAACAATGAAGTGCTTTATTTGCAAGCATATGCCTGGGTCATTCCACCCTACAGCGTAGCCAGGGGAAGGGCAACCCCCAAAATGAAGGAAGGGGAGGTTTTTAAAGCATATAGAGGAATTTCATTGGGTGTTTTGTCGGGAGGGGTTGCCATTGGCTAACCTGTCCCAGGGATGCTTGGCACCACCCAATCGCCAGAGGTGATATAGGGTGGGTTTACGGTTAGGGACTTTTCAGAGGAGGGTCATCTGTTCACTTCTGATAGACTGGCTCCATCTGGCTGATTGACCTTGCCCAGAAGTGTGAAATGAGGGGAAACCAGTCCCCTTCAGACTGCTAGCCAGAAGTGCGGAGGGGGGAGCCAGTCGCCTTTTGATAGACTGTCGCCCAGGAGGGAAGTGGGGAATTAGTTCTAAGATGCAGTTACATTAACCTCTTCGTTCCCAAATGGAGTTACATTAATCTCTTCAGTTGTGAAATTTATCAGGGGAAATGTGAAGATAGCTCCAGCCCCGGAGTTCAAAGTTGCAGTGGGCTACAATGACCCCACTCTAGCTCAGATAACAACAGCAAGATGCTGTCGCAAAAAAAAAAAAAGTGAAGATAATATGAAATAGTGTAAAGAATATTGTTTGGTGACTCTGGGCATCTTGATTGGTAATGATAGTAACAGTAGTATCTGTCACCCTACACCCCACCACTCTCCTTCTCGGCTGTATCAGGAAAAAAAAGGTAAGTCACTCAGTATTGTTCCTCCCCTTCCCCAAGCCCATCTTGTCACTTTCCTTTATTGTTGGACAAGAAAGTAGTCAGAGGGGGGCAGCGCCTGTCGTTCAAATGAGTAGGGCACTGGCCCCATATGCTGGAGGTGGCAGGTTCAAACCCAGCCCCGGCCAAAATCTAAAAAAAAAAAAGAAAGTAGTCAGAGGGTCAGCGAGGACCTCAGGTCCATGTGCTTTAAATAGAACATGCAATTCTAAATGATCTCTTTAACCAATTTTTTTCTGTTTCCAGTTTTTCCCCAGTTGTACTTCCACATGATACATCAGAGAAGAAAGGTCCTTTCTCATACCGAAGAACACAAGAAATTTGAATAGTTCCTGCTTTCTGTACCCTGCCCCCAAACCAAACTTTTCAATGATCAAAAAATGCTGCAGACTTTTTGAGTTCCCAATACGTTTCATAGAAAACGAGTAAGAACTATTTTTAAAAGATTTAAAATAAAACAAAAACCAAAATCCAGTGTCACATGGGCCTGGGATTTTATATTTAAAAAAGGCTGTTACATAAAACATCCTGGCCGGTCCATTTCAGCATGCTCTTTCAACCAGAAGTTCCCAATATTTATGATGGTACTAGAAAGAAATTTGGCATTTTATATCCTCCTGTGTCCTTCATGTTCCTGGTAAATAAAGATCTGTAACACTAACTACTTGAGAGTTACAGTCTGAGTAATGAAGTCGCACCACCTGAATGCCCGGCTTGCAGTAGAGTTCTGTTGCAGTCTGCAGTGTGTTAGCATCCCTTTTCAAAGTGCTTGACGCATGCTGGAAACTATTTGTATTTTTGAAGCGGCAAACTTTGTTCTCTGGAATACTCTGAAGTTATGGCTGGGACCTATCCCCTCCTATCTACTGAATGAATTATAAAATGTATATGCCTGTGAAGCTTTGGGATAGTGCCTGTAACCAGAAAACAACTAGAACCCTTTTTGTTTGTTTTCAACTGAGTCATTACTGCCTGCCACTAAGAAATGTGCTTGACTTTAATAAGTATGTGTCCATTGTAAGAACCTACCTTGTCTAGAGCTTAGCCGCAATCATATTTTAACAAAATAACGGTTCTCAGAAAGGGAAAACTCCATAGCTAGGAAGTGACAAGTACTTTTCACAGGACTGTTCTCAGAACACCTCGGAGTAATATGAGTAATATAGGTGCCGGAGGCTCATTTCTGGACCTGAAGCCAGTCCAGCCACAGAGCAGTGGGGGATCTGTTATTGAAAGCACATGGGAGGTGTCACGTAGAAATGGAGTCCAGAAAAACATTCAAGAATAGGTTCATACACCAGTATAATTTTATTTTTTAATTTTCTCTTCATCTTCTGTTTGGATACTTTTCCTATTAGGACCTATATTCATCCCCACCACGGTGTAAGTCCAGAGGCAGTAAAACTGTTCCCGTTGGGCAGCTGTGCGCTAAAAGCAGTGTAATCTCCATGTGTTGGGAGCAGCCAAGAAATATTTTGGTCCTATGGACATTGTCTAATTAACATCACATCTTCATACCATTCAGTCACTCAGCTGTGCATTTAAAACCTTTCAAGAAAGGGTTGGATGAAAATGTAAAAGCACAAGTTCAGATGTGCATTAAATTTTAAACAACACAGTATCTTTTTTATGGAGCCTTTTTTCCTTTTCTTTTTATTCTTTTTCATCGATCTTTAAGACTAAATCTAGCTTACTGAGTAGCGGTCATTTGAAATATAATTGCTAATATCAGAAGAGCGTCATAATGGAAAACTAAATTTTTTAATGCTGATTTTCATAGAAGCTTGAAAATGTAATGCAGGCAGGTGTGTAATAAATCATTTTGGAATTGAGCATTAAAATTCTCCTGAAAATCAGCACTCTTAACTTGGGCATTTTAAGATTGGAACCTGTTCTTATATTTGATAGACAAAATATGTGAGGGAGATTTTTTTTCATGCTTTTTATTCTTCCAAAATGTATCTCTACTGTAAATTAGAATCAGCCCAGGTTATATGAGTCTTATTACTTTATTCAGATTTTTTCAATTGTTTTTGGAAAAGTTCTAAAAGATAAGATGAAACATTGGGATTGCTGGACTAGGGGTTTAATTCGGGCCTCTTCATTATAATTTGTCAGGATGTATGAAAAACATTCTGTTGCAAACAGTGGTATTATGTCGAATGCAACTTTGGCAATGAGAACACAGCAAACAGTTCCCCTCTCAAAAAGGGTCTCTACCCAGTGTGTATCGTATACATCGGCCTTTAGAATACTTCCAGCAGATGAGCTAAGCATGTCACTGTGTCCTGCAGTAACCTCACTCTGTAACTGGTTTCTTTATCCCTAATACGAATTCTTCTCTCTTTTGAAGTAGTGTTCTTTTATAAATTGAGAACATCCAACCCACCAAGTGTCACCTCTTCTTACAAAGTGTGAATGAAGGATGTAGTGTTTGGGTGGGTATTTTGTTAGACTTAGCGGTTTCATTTCAGGGCATAGTCAAAGGCTTCATCTTCTCGCCTCCCCACTTGATTGTGTGTTTCAGATCCCCCATGCGGGGGCCTCCTTCTGAGAAAGAGAATTCTTTGAGGTAACGCAGTAGTGCTAATCTGCATCTTGCTGTGTCCTGTTTGCTAAGGTTGGGATTATTCATTTAACACGGAAGGACCATTATCAAAGGCACTGTGAAGAGTTAGTCACGGCATAAAGAGATGAAAAAGTTCCTCCAGAGCAAACTTCTGGCAGGAAGGGTTTAGAAGATGGAGAGTTAAAGAGGTTGATGAAGAGCCCGTGCCCTCATTTTTCACCTTTTTTTTTGTTGTTGTTGTTATTCATTTATAATGAAGGGTTTGCATTTATGTGATCCAGCTTGCAAATTGTTTTCAGTTCTGAGTTTCAATTTAAAACATCTGAAAGCATCAATACATAGTGCTCCTTTGAAATTTTGGGTAAAAAAAACTTATACACCCGTATATATAGTCATTTTTGTATTTTTTTCTATGTTGTGAAAACCAAAATTGTAATTTTATAAGTCTTTGATTCACTAAAATTATATAATTTAAATGTATTTTTTGTATATTTAGAATAAGGAATTCAAAGACTAAGCTTAACTTTATATGCATGCATTTGAAAGCTGTTTTTACTTGATAATGTTAATGCAATAATAAGTTATCTTCATAAAATACTGGTCTGTATTGCATTTCAAAATAAACTAGTGTGTGCTCTGCCTGGATTTGACATACTGACCAGTGAGTATAATGATTTTTCACATTCACTAGGCCTGAGTGTGTTATTGCAGGAATATGGAAGCTCTTTCTCTGACAATTTTAAATCTATTTCTGTTATTCCTAATGGTTCTGCACTTACAGGAGAGATAGATTATATGAAGAGGTTTCCACAAAGTCCTTCTTCCCTGCCAGTCTTCAGGCTTACCGAGCCAGTCTGCAAGCTGGCTCCAGAAGGAGAGGAGGGATTCTTTATGTAAGCAACCAGGACATCTAAGAAATGAATCAGCAAAAGTTGAGAACCCTTGACTCATAATGAGATGGGGGATTTTAGCGTAACTTTTCTAGTAGAGGTCGAGAGGGGCAATACTGTTGCCCAGCACTTTTCATCTTACATTAAAATAAGATGTGAAGTTCTAGCACCTCGGCTTGAAAATGCCTCCAAGCATAGAACAATCCTAGGAGCTGCTTCCCTCACTCTCAGGGTCGCAGTAAGAAGGACGGGTGTCTTCAGCTGGCTCCCTTCTGATTGTTCAGCTCTACACCCCCAGTTGTTTTACCTCGAAGTGAAAGCACTTCGTGTGGTGCACATGGAGTTCTAGTGACTTCTCTGGGTGATCTCTCCTTCATGGTGCTTGCAGCAGAAGTGTGCCCCCCACCCAAGTCTGCTGGGTCGTCCTCAAGAATTACACCAATACTGCCCAAGAGTGTGGTCTTCGTTCCAAAGGGAAACTTCTTTTTTTAATTTGAAAAGTTTTTTTCTGTAAATATCATCAAGAAAAACAAAGTTTAAGATTTTTCTTTTTTTTTTTTTTTTTTTTTGCAGTTTTGGCCAGGGACAAACTTGAACCCACTATCCCTGGTATATGGGGGCCGGTGCCCTACTCCTTGAGCCACAGGCGCCACCCTAGTTTAAGATGTATTTTATTTGGGGGTCGTTGGTGTTTTCTTCATTTTACATTTGTTAAAGTCATGTAAACTTGGGCTGCAGATAATGTTTTCTTCCTAAATGCTGTCTGATTACAGCTTAGACATTAGATGCTACCTGGGTCCCCATACCTGTTTCCGAGGTAGGTCGGCTTTTTATTTGTGAGAAGAGAAAATTATTGCAACTGCAACTGAAGAACAGATGGTAAAGTTAATAGTAGAGGCTACCCAGAAAATGGAACCTTTACAATCTTAGGGTTGTAATGGGAAACCAGTGCTTTCTAATTTGTCATTGTCATATTTGGTGGCAATTATGTGTACTATGTTAACATAAGCCTTAGCCTGGAGGAATTACCATTGGTATAATTAAGAGACCTACTGTTACACACAGCATTCCAAAAATACTGCTGTGGTGTTCTGTTCCCTTTAGCAAGAATGAAGATTAGCTTTGCAATTCCTTTTATTATTTAAAAGAAAAAAAAAATCCCAGCCTCACAAATAGCCTGGCTCATTGTCATACAGTTTAATGGCGAAGAAACTGTTCTAGGCAACTATTACCAAAAATAGCCATACCTATTAACATTCCTCTGCCTACAACTGAGAACCGGAGTTGGAAGAGAGAGCTGTGTGGTTTTTTGACCAGCACTTTCTTTTAAACATGTGACAGACTGTTTAGTTGTTTTTTTTAAATTTAGAGATAATCTCTTAATGTTATGGGGACAAGTCTCATTACTAAAAATAGTCTTTCCCACAAAAGGCACTTCACCCTAAAAATCTCTCATTTGATGAGCAAAAATATGAATGTAAGAGGCTGTGTTTGAGCACCTAGTACCCATTTCATAAATCTTTCTATGTTTAGAAATCGTAATTTCTGCTCCTTAATTCCAGAGCACAGACTTACTACTACAGCAAAGCTTTCGCATCTATCTTTGGCCCTGGGTGGATGCAATCCAGATGTGTTTCCAGATGCTGCACTTAGTTAAAATTCAAGCCAAGAACACCATTTCCACCTCTGAGTTGTCGTAGCTGGGCTTACCCACTGGGGGGCAGCACCTCACAAGCAATCTGGGGGCCTCTGGCGCCAAAGGAGTTTGGGAAACCGCTTCACCCCAAGGCTGCGGAAAGGGGCTCTAATGAAAATCAGTCACGGGTCTTTATTGCCCATATGAAGCAAAGACAGATTTTAAAGCATATTCTGGAGGACTACATAAAATAACACTTTTTAGAACAAAGAAGCCAGCTTGAGTGCATGTTTGGAGGCTCAATTTTCTTCCGGCTGTCGAGCCCTCCCATCAGGGACCCTGCAGACTACTGGGTTTTGAAAAGCCCAGTTTGTATTTTTTTTTTTGGAGCTGGGTTATAAAGCAGGTGTTAGCTCTCATCATTTAGTGGAAATCCTGCTTGTTAATATTTGAAACAGTCAGGGAGGCCAGTTCCCACTCTTATTCTGTCTCTGGATATTTTTAGAGGGTGGCCTGGACCATGAGAAAATGTCAGGTCACCTTATAAGGCGGTGTCTGGCCAGAGAAAGCTTGTCTGCAGCACATTCAGTACACAGAATCTGCGCTAACTTGTCTCTTGGACTGTGGGTTTTCTCACAGATTTAAAATGCTTCTAGGTCATACTCTTCAATAAGCTGAAAATCTTCCTCAAGAGATAGTTGTTTAAATGACAGCCATTTCAGACATGCCAGATAGATAACCATGGGGCTATGGAAATTGGATACTGTCCATCCATAACCACTAGTTGACTATGCTTGTGCTGATAGTCATGTTCTATAGCAAGTGATTTGTTTATTTGGGGTTTGGGGTTTTTTTTGTTTTTTTTTTTCTTTTTTTTGAGACAGAGTCTCACTCTCAGCATGGGTGGAGTGCCATGGCCTCAGAGCTCACAGCAATCTCAAACTCTTGGGCTCAAATGATCCTCTTGTCTCGGCCTTTTGAATAGCTGGGACTACAGGCATGTACAGCTGTGCCTGGCTAGCTTTTCTATTTTTAGTAGAGGTTGGGTCTCACTCTTGCTCAGACTGGTCTCAAACTCCTGAACTCAAGCAATTCACCACCTCAGCCTCCCAGAGTACTAGGATTATAGGTGTGAGCTACCGCACCCAGCTCTGATTTATTTATTTTAATGTCTGTTGATGTGAAATCCACAGGCTATTAGCTCTGAGTGGTGTTAGGAGGGTGGGCATATTAGGGAAAGGGGTCTGTGGTTTAAGACATGGAGACAATATTAAAGTTTTTTCTCCTGATAAACTTTCTTTTCTTTTTTTTTTTTTTAGAGACAGAGTCTCACTTTGTCGCCCTCAGTAGAGTGCCATGGCCTCACAATTCACAACAACCTCCAGCTCTTGGGCTTAGGCGATTCTCTTTGCCTCAGCTTCCCAAGTAGCTGGGACTACAGGCGCCCGCCACAACACCCGGCTATTTTTTGTAGTTGCAGTTTGGCTGGGGCTGTGTTTGAACCCGCCACCCTCAGTATATGGAGCCGGCGCCCTATGTACTAAGCCACAGGCGCTGCCCTCCTGATAAACATTTTAAATCTTTCTTTATGTGAACACAGTTTGTGACTCTCCAAGAGATTCTAATACAGGATTGTCCAAACCTATTTTTCACTTTTATCCTTGGAGTATCTTCAGAGCTAAGGCTGCTAGAACACAACTTGAAAAGTACTAATCTGCATTCCCTCTCAGGGAATATTGACCCATCCAGGGGGGAAACCTGAAAGACAGGGGCCTAGCCTGGGATCTTATTTTTCCGTGTTTCTTTGAGCTGCTTCCTTTTTTAAAAAAATATAAACCGCCATTGTCGAGTAGTAACTTGAATTATTAGGTTGAGAATCCAGGTGTCAGTACCCTTGCTAGAATCTTCCATTGGCTGCTTTCCAGTGGCTGTGGAAGGTGTCCACCAATGGGTGTGAACTGCCTGAGCTGCCCAGGCGGGGCCCAGCAGCCCTTGGATCACCTGCCTGGCTCACTGTCCATGATTCTCTTTAAACATCATCTTCTTTAAATCTCCGGCTCACTCTCCACCCAGGATATCACCCCCAATTTCATGGAGAAAGCAGAGCCATGAGACAGCAGTTCCTTCAACATTTTGCTACCAAATCTATTATATAAACTTGCCTGTCCTGGGCTCATTCTTTTCTTCCTGTTGCAATGGAAGGGGTGACCCTTTGCCCCAAGCTAATTCCTACCTTGTGCTCTAGATGTTTCTTTCTCCCCTCCCAAAAGATCTCCCTCTATCAGTCTGAGTCCCTCTCTCTGTGCTTCCTCTGGGCCAGCTCTTCCCATTTTGGCCTCGACCCATGCCCTTGACCTTCATCTCCCTTCTGTTCTCTGGGAGGGCTGACTGTACACACTCCTGTGTTCCTTAGCTGCCACTCTTCCTCTCTGCAGCCTAGTTCCTTCTACCATGCCACTGACCTGGCTCTGTTAAGGTCACTAGTGACCTTGTTTTGAGATACAGCCTTATGGTTGAAATTGGAGTGCAATTCTGCTGGATGTTAGAAATACTGGTGTGATTTTGGAATAGACTGGTGGGGCCCAGCAACACTCAGCCTTGGCCCAGAACTCTCATGGCTTCTCAATGCATCCCTAGTTAAGGTATGTGGAAAAGAATGAATGGAAAACAAGCAAACTGAAAGTGTTACCGTAACTGTGACTTGAGCCCAGGGCAGAGTTCTGATAGGCTGGGCAGAGCCTCCTGGAACATTCCTACTTCCTAAACCAGTGAGGGTTGGCAGCCTAGGCTAAAGAACATTGTGAGTCCTGCACGATGCACCTCTGTCCCCACCTCTTGTTCTCTACCCCAGCACTTAGGTCTTAACCACTGTGACTGGGAGAAAAGCTGATCCATGCAGCCCCAGGACAGAGACACATAGGAAGATTGAGTGCATGTGCCAACTTGCTTGCCTGGGGAAGCCCAGGTGGGAAGGACAGGAAGGCATCTGAGAAGAAAGGGCAGGCCCCACTCTGCTTACCACTTAGGACAGAAAGAAACTCAAGAGAGAAGCACGCCCATGTATATCAGCCTCTCCATGCCATCACCTCCACCCACTCTACCTAGCAAATGTGGTCCCCTCAGAATCTG